CTCATATAGAGTTAAACCAGAAAAGAGTGCAACTTTTAAAAACTAACGTACAAGTTCAAATATTATTATTTTTTCAAAAAAAAAAAAATAATAATTTTCAATGTAAAATTATTTTTTAGAGACAGAATCTGAAAATGAAATTTAGTATTCAAAATCAGATTTTTGAGTATGAAAATTTTATTTAAAAAGATATAAAAAAATCGTAAATACGATATTTAGAGTGCTAAAAATTATAATTGTAAATATAACTAAAAAAAAAATTTTTTGGGACAATAATTTCATTTTATAATTAAATTTTACTTCTAGTGTAATTTTGATTACATTAGTATTAAAAAAAAAATGATTTTAAGTTGAAAAATAAATTGGAATATTTTCCTTTCATTCTATACTGTGAATATTATGATGTTACACATGAGGGAAAAAGATAATTTTAGTATATATATGTAATTGACTTTCAAACACGTTGACACGTAAAAGATTTTATATATTATGTACCATTATAATACAATATGACAATGGTCCTGATCTTCGATCCTGTGATATTATAGTTAGATTCTTCGTCAAACAAACCTAAGCCACGATGATCGTACATCTAGATTGGAGGACGACTTTATTGTAATGGTAATAACGAAGCATGTTATTCCATCGTGTCGGTTTGGTTAAATTTATATCGATAAAATGTTCCAACGTATATAATATGTTATATCTCTTTACTATCCAGTACCACAATCTCATGAGTAAATAATCTTATTTTTGTCCTAATCCTCTTTTATTTCTTTAATAGACTTTTAGTCAAATAATTCTTCATCATCTTGAGAAACATATTTTATATATATCTCTTTCTATATTATAAAAAGATTTCGCCGCCACCGCTGTTTCAGAAATTTTGACCCTTTGAGGTTATGTTCGTTTCTAGACTCTGAATATAGCCGCAAGTCCCTCCTCCACCAAAATGGCCTAAATTTTGAGGTTATGTTCGTTTCACTACTCGGAATATAGCCGCAAGTCCCCTCCCCCGCCAGAAATGACATAAATTTTGAGGCTATGTTCGTTTCAAGGCTCTGAATATAGCTGCAAGTCACCCCTCCCTCCTCCCATTTCCCCTCCTCCGCCAAAATGGCCTAACTTTTGAGGTTATGTTCGTTTCAAGACTCTGAATATAGCCGCAAGTCCCCTCCCCCGCCAGAAATGATCTAAATTTTGAGGTTATGTTTGTTTTAAGACCCTAATAAAGCAGTAAGTCCTTCCCCCTTCCCTCATCTCTCTCTGTATTTCCCGCCAAAAATGACATAAATTTTAAGCTTATGTAAATTTCAAGACTTTCAATATAGCCGCAAGTGGAGGTGGAGTTCCCGCCAAAAATGACTTGAATTTAAAGGTTATGTTCGTTTCAAGACTTTTTAATAATTTACTGGTTTTTAGGCAATTTCATTGAAATTATTTTTAAAAATAATTTCTTAATGTCGATTTTAATTTATTTAATTATTTATTTATTATTAATTTAATTAATTTATTAATTTAATTAATTTATTAATTAAAATTTAATAATTTTTATTTTAATAATATTTATTCACATTTCAATAAAGTAATAATAATTCTTTGAATTTGACTAAATTTTGAGATTATTTTCGCCTCTACTCCCATGACTTTTGATGTAAATTTGAGGCCGCCACCGCTGTTTCAAAACTCTGAATATAGCCGCAAGTCCCAGAATTACCGCTGGGTTCGAGGCTATATGTTCGACTGACATATAACCTCAAATTTAGGTCAAATTTTGGCGGGAAATCCCACGTAACCAAGAAACGAACATAACCTTAAACTTAGCTCAAATTTTGTCGAGAAATACCTCCTCCCCACAAACAAATGAACATAACCTCTACATTTATATGAATTTTCACTGTGAATATAGCCGCAAGTTCCCTGGATTGCCTTTGGGTTCAAGACTATGTTCGATAAACATAACATTAAATACCCCTAACCAAGAAACGAACATAACCTTAAAAATTATATCTAATTAGACCTAAGCAGAATGAAATCTCTAATCGTAAATCTTAAGCTTTTACATAAGAGAGAAAAGGATAGAAATAACTTTTCTCCTTTTCTTTCCCATGTAAAAGCTTAAGATTTACGATTAGAGATTTCATTCTGCGTTGGCCCATTATATCAAGAGTAACTAACCTAACCTAACCTAACCTAACCTAACCTAACCTAACCTAACCTAACCTAACCTAACCTAACCTAACCTAACCTAACCTGACATAACCTAACCTGACATAACCTAACCTAACCTAACCATATGGAACGTATATATAATAGGCCTAAGCAAAATGAAACCTCTAATAGTAAATCTTAATCTTTTATAAGAGAGAGAAAAGGATAGAAATATCTTTTGTCCTTTTCTCACTCATGTAAAAGCTTAAAATTTACGATTAAAGATTTCATTCTGCGTTGGCCCATTTGATCATAACATTTTTATAGGTTAGATTGTCAAGTAACTCTAGAATGTTAAATTTTAAGCTTTATCTGTAAATCAAGAGATGAAATATTTTCGAATTTCATTTTGATAAATAGTTTTTAATATAAATTCATAAGCCATATTAAAATATTTTATTTCAATATATTTCTAATAACAATAAATTATTAAACTTGCATACTTGAGCAGTTTCAGTTGTGTTTATGTAATCGGGTAAAACTGAAAAAAATTATATCGTGGTATTATCAAATCAAACGTCAGAAGTCAAAGAACTTGAAATTCTGCAAAATTCCCTAGATATCACTAGGTATACAAGCACTTTTATGCTTCAAGCTGCATTTACAATACCTAAATCGAATATAATTTTGCAGACGATTTTTAGAAAGAGACGATGCGCGCGCATCTATTGTCAACTGTCGGAAAAATATTTATTTCACATATTCTACTATTCCTAAAATTTCAGTTTGTTAATATTATTGAAATTATAAAAAAATTTGCTTTGTTAAAGAAAATAAAAATTTAATATCCTCTCTGGTTAAATTTTTTCTTTTCTTTTTTTTTTAGTACACATGAAATAAATTATTCATCGACAGTTGGCAACAGATGCGCGCGCATCATCTTCTAAAAAAACTGCTTTCAAGACGATGCGATTTAGCTATTGTAGAAGTAACCTTACAAATGTGACTTATTGCAGTATTTCTAATCATAATGTCGGAAAATATTTTTTTTGTACATAAATAAAAATTTGAAGGAAATAAATCTTTTTTTTTTAAACAATAAGCTGCGAGAATAATATATTTTGAAATTTTGTTCATTTCTATGACTTTACATTTATTCTGTCTTCGTTATAATGTTCACTCATCCGCTTTTTCAAGGTTTGAGTATCCAACTTTGTCTACTCTCTCAATGTTTGCAGAAATCGCATATTTATGTTTATGCAAATTCCAACTTGCATACATGTATAATCATTTATACATTTAGTGACATCGAATTCCATTGCTCGTAATTAGCAAACACGCGACAATATATATATATAAATAAATGAACGGAAATTACATTCCATATGTTTTATTTTAAATATTTTGAAAAACTTCAGATTTATTAATGCGTACACGCACTATTTGTGCTGACACTTTATCATATTGGTATGATTATAATTTGTAATTTATTAGTATAACTATAAAATTCTTTGTGATTTAGCGCTTACGAAAGAGAAACTTTTCTTGAGAAAGAAAAATGAAATAATAAATTAAAAAAAAAAAAAAAAATTCTATAAAAGCAAGTTTTTGAACTACATATTCATTATTTTTTTTATTAAAAAAAAAAAGATGTAATAACCTACTTAGCGGATTCCTTTTGTTTGTTTATGCAATTTTTTTCTCTTGTTGAATAAGGTTGATAAATAATAATAGTAATGATAATAAATAAACATATAATATTTGCTTTGTTAAGACTTTTAAAATTACTTGTACTTTTTTTTTTATTTTGGCCTAAATCTCAAAAGATTGAAACAATTTATTCATATGAGTTTATTATTATTTTTATAATAATAATTATATTTATTTTTAAAAATTATTATTATTACTATTGTATACTTAAGAATGTTCAACGATCTTTGAAATTCTTTGGCATTTAATTATCGCCCTATAAATACGGCACTGAACGTAAAAATTATAAATATTGATTTTAAAACACTTTCTTTTTGATTTATAGACACTTTTTATAAAATCGGCCAACATACCAAGATTTCTTATCTTAGTAAATTTCCTAAAACCGAAAGATTTTTGGAATTCATGCAAAAACGCGATCGCAAAATTGGAAAATAATAATAATGACACTTGAGACTTTGTGCTCCCTGCTTGTTTCCGCCATCTGACGGCGGCAGGACGTAATGAACCTGTCATTATATTTCTACTTTTCGTTTTGCAATTGCGTTTTTGTATGGATTCGCACAATTTTTTGGATTTAGGGAAATTATAAGATAAGAAATCTTGGTACGTTGGCCGATTTTATAAAAAGTGTTCATAATTAGAGAAAAAAGTTTTTTAAAATCAATGTTTATTATTTTTACGTTCAGTGCCGTATATTTATAGTGCGATAATTAAATGCCAAAGAATTTCAGAGACCTTTGAACACTTCTAAGTACGTTTTAAAAATTAATATTTAAAAAGCATTAAAATTAAGTATTAACAAAAAATAGTTAATTAAGCCAGTAAAAATGTTTTTATATTTCTTTCTTAATATTTTTTTTATAATAAAATTTTTTATATAATCCCGCTTTTTCTTACCAATGAGAGAGTTATCGTGGCGCAAGCGCAGTTGCGTTTAGATACGATAATTGTCAAGTCTCCTAGAGAGAATTATAGCAGCGCATGCGCAGTTGCGTTTGGTGACTGTGGTTGGGATTTTTGTTTAATAATAGTAAATTTTTTTTTTAAACTGACCATCTTTTCTTCATTTTTTTAATTAAATGATTTGAAATTTCTCTGAATAATAATTATAAATATAGTGAATGATTTGTTGACAGAATGGTTCTCGTGGTAAATGGGGTTCTACAAGAAGAACCCCCGGCGGACAGCAGGTCATTATATGCGGCCCACCCAGTATATCGTGAGACCGCTGCTCAACTCCACTCGATGCCGGCAAAATTAGTGGGCCCCGTGGGCCTTCTTTACGTCAAGCAGAGAGAAATGGCTGCAACCCTTCCCCACGACAGTGAGTATAATATGAACATTACATATTACGCACAATTTTAATCAATTTCTTTTTAAATCTATAATTGGGTTCCACACAATAATTTTCAACATATTGTTCAATTTTCACAATTTTGATTTTAGCTAAAAATTGTTTTTATCCCTTTGTGTACTCAAAAAAAAAATAACATTACATTTTTTTTTCATAATTTTTTATCAAGATATGAATTTTTTTAAATTACATATTTTTTTAAGGATTCTCCAGGGGGTGGTGCGGAGTAAGGGGATAGTTTCTATTCTTCCCGTGTGGAAGGCTCACAAGTTTGCAACCTTAGAAAAAATAAATTTTTATTTGATAAGTAAGGTTCTTGTCCTTATTGATAGGAGAATTGTTTAGAAACAGGTGTATAAATTAATAATAAGCTTTCCTCTTTACTAGAATATTATAAATTCTATTTAATTAAATTTTTTAAAAAGTGCTTGAAATCAGGGCAACGTCGCATTCTCGTCGCGTAGTTTATGTAAGGTTGGTAAGACTGGTCTTTGTATCTATATAACACAGATTGGGCCTACACCTGATCTGACAGCTAACCTCAAATTTTTTGTTATGTGTTATTATTTAATTGTTGAACTTCCATAAAACACTTAAAATTGAAATGAAAATAAGATTATTTACTTATAAGAAATTTGTAATATAAGTCGTTCATCTCAAAATTTGAAAATAAAATGGAAAATACAAATAGTTTATTTATTATACTTTAATTCAATTTGTATGATAATTAGGAAAAAAATATTCAATTAAATAAAACTGTGATTGTAGTAGTTTTGAACTATATTTTATTTTGACAAAAATATTTAATTATAATTTGAGGTTATGTACGTGTATTTTTATCACTCTTTTTGTTTTCCAATAATTAATCAGAATTAAATTTATATAAACTTTCAAATTAAACATAACATACAATATTCTATTAAAATTGCAGTTTAATCCATTATTTTCTAAAAATAATATAAAAAAATATCTGAATATAAATATGAATTTGACGACTTGTATACTTGCATTTGAAATTCGCGGCGAATTGCTGCGCAAACGTGCCAAACACGTGTTGCGACGTTGCCACGTTTTCATGTCTGCTACACTTACTATTATTATTATGACAAAAAATCAAACTTTATTATTTATTTACTCAAAAACTATGTGGTAAACTTTCTTTATATTGTGCAGTTAATAAATTTATCATATTTTCTTCCTGTATACCAACTTTCAGATTTTTGTGTCATTTCCATCACACTTTTTGCCTATGGTTTATACACGTTCCCATAAGAGTCCATGTTAAATTGGTCATATATTTTATTTTTTTTCTAAAAAACTACGTGGTAAAAAATTCTGAAAATAATCATAACTTCCTAAATCAATCTAATGAACAAACTGTCAAAATTTGGTAAGTCTGTGTCATTTCTTTATATTTCAGGGAGAATCCTTAAATGACCATAACTCTCTTAAAAATGGTGACACACGAATATTTCTCATATTAGACTTTTTAAAAATTTTGTGGTGTCAAATAATAAATTATTTTAATACATGGAACATATATTTCACTTTTATTTAAAAATATTATTTATTTGAATAAAAATTTAGTTAATTTAATTGATTAATTAGTTAATTTAATTTACCTAAAAAGGTTAGTTTAGAATAGACGCATGTAAATTTCCACTGGAATTCTAATAAGGCCAAAGCAAAATAGCTTCGCGAACGTGAAACATGAGTTGAAAAAGGACAGAGATATATTTGCATCCTTTTCTATCTCATGCATCTCGTTCGCGAACCTATTTTGCGTTGGTCTATAGAACGTTTTAACAATGACATATTGTTGATTACCATTGTCAACACTCGCTATTTGTCATAATTCTCGTCAACTACCGCACCCTGCTCTAGTGAAAATTTAGTGACTTTATTGATAAAATTAAAAGTTACTAAATTTTTACTAAAGCAGGGTGCGATAGTTGACGAGAATTATAATAAATGGCGAGTGGGGACAATGGAAACCAACCATCTTTATATTTTTGATACCTGCCCCACCCTGCTTTTTCTTTATTCTAGTTCCCCGCCCTGTATCGAAAAAAGCTACCATTCCCTGCAAAGTGTCACAATTCGGATGTTCCACTAATTATTTTATATTTGTCAACAAAATTTTGACATGATTCTTAACCTAAGGCTGGTTCCACAATATGCCAAAACGATGCGCGCGCATCAAGAAGACTAGAACCAGGAGGTGAAACTTCCACGCTTTACCGCAGTGAGTAGTGGCATGGTAAACGTGCACACGGTGGGCGGGTCGTTTAAGTTCGTGTACTGCTAATAGAACGAATTTACGAATTCTGCGCATACTAACCTTGTAGGTTTTGAAGGGGAAATTTCGTAGCAAGCAGCTGCAAATGTTTGCGTCTGCTTGGTTAGGTAAATTATATAATAATAAAATGCTTGGTCTGTCCTTCTGTCCTAACTTGAAGTTGGCCTTTTCTGATTTCACGTGTTTTTTTGAATAGTAATCTTATGACGTGTCAAATTTTGACAATTCTTTATCTCATTTTTGCCAAAGTTGTATAATTGTGTTTCCAAATTTCGGAATAAGTTTCTTTAAAATTCCAAATTTAAAAATTCAATTCACGAAACTGAAGTACACAACGTTTACCAACGAAATTTTTTATAAAGTTGTATATGAATTCAAAAATTGTATACAAATACAAAAAATTTATGATGAGAAAAAAGATGCGCCAGGAAATTTCGTACAAGATAGTAATTTGAAATAAAATTTATTTTTAAAAATTAATTTTTAAGGTACCAGGGCCCAACGAATACCTATTAAATATTAATTATAAAAACACAGGCCTCGAATCAACTTAAAGACATAAAAAAGTCGTTTTAGTCGATTTATATTCCAAAAAAAAGTGGATTTGTTCTTTATTTTAACAAAAATATTTTACAGATTTTTAAATAAAAAATTTTTTTTTTATTATTATCCTTTTCGAAGGGTTAAAGTTGAAATTTTTAGAAATAATTAAATTTCAAAAGATATTGTTAATTTTCAAACAATTATTAAATTTTACAGAACTAAATATAATTTATCAAACAATTTTTGGAAAAAAATTTTTAAATTTAATTGAATTTTCAAAGATTTAAAATTGAGATATTTGAAATTAATTGAAACTTTAAGTGTTTTGTAATTAAAATTTTAGATAATTTCACTAAAAATTTATTAGAAAATGTGGACAAAATATAATAATTTGAAAATCATTTTTAATTGAAAAATGGTTTCAGATAGTTGAATTTTCAAAGAATATTATTAAAATAGTTAAAAATAATTGAATTTCCTTAGACTTGTAATTGAAATTATTAAATTTCAAAAAAAAAAATTTTTTGATGGAAAATTTTAGAAATAAATAAATTTTAGATGCTTTTAAATTCAAATTATTGAAAATTCAATTAATTTTGAATTCAAATTTTTGAGGATAATGAAATTTTATTTGATTTTAAATTTGGAAAATAATTTAATTTAAGTTCATTTTTGATTGAAAATTTGGATAATTAATTTTGAATAGAAATTTTACAAAATAATTGAATTTTATTTCATTTTAAATTGAAAACTTGGTAAATAATTAAATTTTAAATTGAAAATTTTGTATAATTATTGGATTTTTAATTGATTTTGAATTAAAATTTCGGGTAATAATTGAATTTTAGTTAATTTTAAATTGAAATTTTTAAAAAGTAATTCAATTTTATTGTGATTTTTTTTTTAAATTATAAACAATTGTTAAATTTCATAAAAATTTTAATTGAAAAATAATTTTGATATAATTGAATTTGTGATGTATTTCATTAAAATTATTAAAAATAATTAATGTAGTGAAGAATCATTTTAGTTTAAAATTTGTTAAATAATTTAATTGAAGAAGATATGATGAAGATCTACATTTTATACTAGAAAAATGTATTTTATTTACATTTTTTTCAAATGTTAAAAAAAATGTCGCATTTTATTAAAAGAAGTCGATAAAAGTCTTATTTTTGAAAAAAGTCAGAAAAAGTCGTTTAATCCGAGGCTTGTAAACATATAATTTTCATTATTATCATTTAATATGTAATAATATTCTAATAAATTAAATTATTATTGATAATATTAATCTTTAATTTCTTTATAACAAACAATTAAACACTCAATTTGGCGCGCTTGCGCGCGTTTAATTTTGCTAGTTAAATATAATTAATTAAATATAATCGCATCAAAAAATTTATGGGTAAACCATTTGCCATAACCGCATAAACAGAAACTTAAAAACAGCGTCTGCTACATTTCAAATATCAGTGTCAAGAAAGTATGCGCAGAACACTCAAATTCGTCTGAATAGCAAAGCACGAACGATAAGCCACGCCTTCTAGTGGCTTGTTTTTCACGCCGCATCTTTACAACGGAGTTTCCCCTCCTGGTTCTAGTCTTCTTGGCGCGCATGCTTTTTCTATTGTCGTCAATCTTTTTGTTTTGAAAATCACCTTCAAGACGATACGATTTTGCCTATTGTGGAAACAGCCTTACAAATTATTTTTCGTGTATAAGTATAGAATATCTTTGCGAACGTAAAGCATGAAAAAAAAATTTTTATTTATCAGAATTGTTCTTTTATAGAATTTCTATTTATTCGAATATTTACTTAACATTATTTTCATTTATTGAATTCCTATTTAACATAATTTCTAATATAAACAAATTCTTATTTAACCCCTTCGCTGTGTAGCAGAAATAAAGCTTCCGTGCCCCGTATGTGGTAAAAAAAATTAAAAAAAAAAAAAAACTTGATGTTACCATACCTAAGAATACCCACTGACAAGTTTATCGTATTGTGTCTACTTATTTTTTTCTAGATGCTACTATAGCGGTCATACACACACTGGTGGCACGATATTTTTATGCCTCTATAGAGGTCAATAACAGTGAAGGGGTTAAAAAAACTTTATTTAAACTTTATTAAATAAAAAATTTCGAAAAACAATTTTTTCAATAAAAGTTTTGTTTAATAGAAATTAGGTTAAATGTGAATTTATTTAATGAAAACATTGGCTAGTAAATATTTGGATACTGTATAGTAAATTTAAAAACATTTTTTAATGTACTTTTCAATGCAAAAAAAAGTTTACCATGAAAAAGATTATAAGATTTTTGTATAGAATTTTACAAATTGATAAATTAATATTTAATAAAACTTTTTTTTATACATCTATAAGTTAGAAATAATGTAATATTGTAATTTTTTTTGCAGAAAATGTAAGCATCCTAGGATCGGATGACATGACAACATGCATAATCGTCGTCGTCAGGCATTCTGGTAAGAATAATATGTTTTTAATATTTTTTTTTTTTTACCAAAACTCAATTTTACCAATCTTTTATTTGATAAAATCATCAAATTTCTTTCAAATGAAAAATTAATGCTGAAGTAAAAACAAATAGAACCGTATACAAACACAAAACAAACTTGGACTAATTTTTGTTGCAATTTATTTTGATTTGGGTATATATTTAATTGAGTAAGGGACAAACTTCAAGTTACTCAATGTCATCCTGAAACAGTATAAGGTTACGGAAGATCTAAAATAACTATATGGGTGATTCTCCGCGTAGCGTATTATTATAGAATTTTTTTTTTTACAATTCAAATTAAAATCATAATATAACTTTCATGTATGATAGTGAAGAATGAAATATCTCTAATGGGCCGGACAAATTGTTTATAATTTTGGTATATTTTAAACAAATTAGAGGTAAATGCATCCATGTAATATAATGAGCTATTTTGGTACTTAATAAAAATTTGAAATAATTTTTAATTTTATAACAAACAAAATTTAAAAACGAAAAATATAATTTTGGAAATTTATGTGATAATTTATTGTAATTTATGGAAATTTTTGAGGGAATTTATAATAATAATACAAAATACAAGTTTCAAAAAACTATATTGCAAATAATTTATTTGGTAATTTATGAAAATTAATGAGGTAATTTATGAAATTTTTGAGTTAATTTATAATTAGGGGAGGATGGGACAAAGATAGTTAAGGGGGAAGGATAGTTAGTGGCTTTATTGCCTATACGGCTTCTTCAAAAAGGGCACTATTCTTCACATATACTTGTTTTAACACCAAAAGACGTCAGGAAAATTTGATCTTGATGCGATATCATTTGTGGAAGCTACGTGTTTATTTGTGAAAATCCTGTTTTTTCTAAAATGTATCAGTTCTGTTTAAAACACTGTTTCAGATATTAACTGTTTAAAATATTTATTTATGTCCAAAAAATATTTTTGGTAGTGCTTTGAAGTGTTTTGAGGTGCTTTTATCCATTGAAATTAAAAAAATCCCAAATTTAATGTCTTTTTTTGATTATTTTTCGTAAAAAGAATTTTGATAACTATCCTTGCCCCAATAGTGGGGCAAGGATAGGTAAATTTTTTTTTTTAATTTTCCGCTAATATCTCGAAGGCATTGCAATTCACAGCAAAATAATGTATTACAAAATTGTAGCTAAATAAACAGGCTTTCGAACGATACTATTCTTTTTCCGATCTCTGTTGAATTTTAGCTACTAGATCCAAAAATGTCTTACCTAACTATCCTTACCCCATCCTCCCCTATACAATAGAAACAAAATTCAAGATTCAAAAACTGTTACGTGATAATTTATGGAAATTTATGCTGTAATTTAAGAAATTTTTGAGGTAATTTATAATTGTAATACAAACAAAATTTTAAGATTTAAAAATTATTGCAGAAAATTTATGCGGTAATTTATGAAATTTTTAAGGTAATTTATAATATATAAAAAAAAAAATTTTTAAACTAATTTTGGAAATTTATGGAAATTTAAAGGATAATTTATGGTAATTTATGTGATAATTTATGAAAATTTAATGGAAATATTTGTTGTAATGTTGTGAATTATTTTTAAAAAATTTTATCCTAATTTTTAAACTTGATATTCAATTGAAAGACGGCCAAAAGGCTTCCTCTTGATGCTGAGGCAATTTTCAATCGGTTTCGCATTTCTGTCATTTATATTCATTCAAATAATACTACTACACATTATTTAATAAAAAAAAATTTATTTTTTTGATTTATTGTAAAATATGTGAAAGCTTCCCCATTATGGTTCTGTGATTCCCTATATATATGTAAAATTGGCGCTTGAAAGGTGTAAAAATAAATTCAAATCATAAAATTAATTTCTATCGTAGATAATCGCTTGAGGTTTTTTTTATTTAGTATAACTAAATTCTAATTTGTTTTTTATGAGATATTTCAATTTTTTTAAAAAAGCTTCCCCACGACGATTACTTTTTCACGTTGGATTCATTATCTCTCTAAATTTGAATCAGTGCGGAATTTTACTGGTGAACCATCAGTTATGTATAAGTATCACAGAAAATTAAAAGGCATTAAAATAAGCTGCAACGATTATTATTTTAATCCAATTTTGCTTATTTTAATACCAAAATGGATTAAAATAAACAAATTTGCTTATTTTAATGCCTTTTAATTTTCTCTAATACCACTGGTTTGATTCAGTGAAAATTTTACTGGAAACCAGTGTATTTTCACTGATTGACAGTGAAAATCTCACTAATTGAATTAGTGAAATCTGTTTTATCGACAGAGTCTACTGATTCAATCAGTGAGGTTTTCACTGTCAATCAGTGAAAATACACTGGTTTCCAGTGAAATTTTCACTGAATGAAACCAGTGGTATATACTTATAACTGGTTCATCAGTGAAATTCCACTGATTCAAATTTAGAGAGACAATACAATTTATTTCTTAAAAAACGCAAGGGACATGGAATTGTACACTTCGTGGAGAATCACCCATATATATAAAAAGAAAACTGGAATTATTCTAGGAATCCTTAACGAGTAGATTGAAACATGGTAAGCAAAAATCAGTGCGGAAAATATCGGTTGAATTGAAAGGCGTGACGTTTGACAAGCCGCGCAGCCGATTTTCTCTCTTTCTTTATATTTTGCCTTTGGATTTTCTGTCCATCTTTGTCGGCATCCTATTCCAAAGGATCAATCTTTCCCCTTTCGCCGATCGCGAGAGAATCTCACCATCTTAATCCCTTTTCAAGATGCGAAAGAGGCAGACATATATAAGTGAATGCCGGTACAAAAACCGTTTGAAATACGTTCCAATAAGGCAAACGCGTCTCACAAGAGAGCTTCGATATATAACCAACTTGAGACTCTTGAGAGAGTCGCTTGGGACCTCCGCACAGGACCATCTACTACATATATATATATGTGTGTATTGCCATAGCGCGCTTTCCTGACTGCTTTCCTCCTGGCGTTATGTTCACTAGGCGCGACAACCACCAATGAGGCCTTTAAGACTTGACTTTACTCTATACTCTCTATACAATTCCCCGATATAGTCTGCCATAACGAAGACTCTTTCGTGTGATGTTCGATAATTATCTCTCCCTGGCGATGCTTCAGTGGCGTACTTGAACAATTTCCTATATTTACTATTTATATATACATGCGGACAGATTCTTCTTACTCCAAGTTAATTTTTTTTTATTTTTTTTTTGAGGTCCATAAATATCCCCTGAAATTCTTTAGTTGGAATTTTCATTCTATATATAATTTCAATTTTCTTTTAGGCAAATTTTCATTTTTCCTATATTTGTATTCAAATTCAAATTAACCTTTAAGACCCTTTGCCGGTTCTAAGATTTTCCCACTCTAAAGGCACTCTCACACCTTTTTGGCTGCCTGCCTGCCTGCAGGTTACCATGGCAACGCACGAGTGTGAGTAAGACAGAAAATTTGAATATTCAAATTTTTAAATTTTCTGTCGCACTCACTCTCATGCGTTGCCATGGTAATCTGCAGGCAGCCAAAAAGGTGTGAGAGTGCCTTAAGGGGACGGTCAAACTATCTCATGAATGCACATTTGGTCACACTTCAACGAAATCTAGTGAATGTTTAGTAACTTTCTAGTAATTTTTGTAAAAATTTCGGTTGTAACTAGACTTCAACGAAATCTAGTGAATGTTTAGTAACTTTCTAGTTACAACCGAAATTTTTGCAAAAATTACTAGAAAGTTACTAAACATTCACTAGATTTCGTTAAAGTGTGACCGGCTAAATGTTTCTGCACGCATGAGATAGTGTGACCGTACCATAATGGCGCACTCACACCTTTTTTGGCTGCCTGCCTGCCTGCAGGTTACCATGGCAACGCACGAGTGTGAGTGAGACAGAAAATTTGAATATTCAAATTTTTAAATTTTCTGTCGCACTCACTCTCATGCGTTGCCATGGTAACCTGCAGGCAGCCAAAAGGTGTGAGTGCGCCCTAAGTTTATGTCGAATCACGGACAAGAAAATTTTGTAAAGAACTATAGAATCCGAGTCCGTACATTAAAAAAGTTTTACACTTTCATAATTTTGAGGTTAGGTGAAACTTTTTCATTAAATTTACACAAGTTACAGAGGTATAAACTACCATGTGCACGAAGTAAGAATAAGGAGCCTTCACTTCAAAGGAAAAATGTCCCAAATTCTGGTAACATCATTCCGGAAAATTTGAATAGTCAGAGGTGGCGTTCGTAACGGGAAAAACCTTAAACTATTGATTTCCCTAATGAAAGTCGTCTGCTATTTTTCGAAAAGTATATATTATAAAATCACATAATTTCACATTTTTGAAAAATAAAGTAATTGAATAAATAATAAATGTTAAATATGAAATATTATTTGTAAATAAAAAGTCATTTACAAATTAATTAATTTTAATGTAGTTCTTTAAAAATTCACTAACTTTAAACTTCTTTTTAATACACATTCTTTAACAATCAATTATTGTTTTTTTCTTGTTTTTACAGTAATCTGTAGCTATTTAATTGTAAAAAAAGTTTCCATTAAAAATCTCTTAAAATTGAATTAATTCGATCTAAGAATCTTGCGAATATATGACTTTTCCGAAATTCAATTATTTTTAAAATTATTAAAATTCTTTGTAAAAGTAAATGTAATAAAAATGTTTTTAATCATATTTAAGTAAAATTCAATAATTTACTGTAAAAACAATAACTGATTGTTAAAGAATGTGTATTAAAAGGAAGTTTAAAGTTAGTGAATTTTTAAAGAACTTCATTAAAATTAATAAAATTAATTAATTTGTAATTGACTTTTTATTTACAAATAATATTTCATATTTAACATTTACTATTTATTCAATTACTTTATTTTCAAAAATATGGAATTATGTGATTTTATAATATACTTTTTAGAAATAACTAATTCTCGAGTAGCGAAATTAATGAATTTTAAGCGAATCCAATAAATTTTATAAAAAGTCGTCCGCCATTTTGAATTTTTAAAAACTAACATCTGATTCGTAATCAGCGATCCCAAACCCCCCCCCCCTCCAGCAACGATTTTCAGCCAAATCCAATGAATTTTTCAAAAATTTGTTCGCCATATTGGATCCACCATTTTGAATTTTTAAAAACTAACACCGTATTCGTAATCAGCGACCCAAAAAACCCCTTAGTACTAAGTGTCATGAAAATTTATTCACGGTAAGGTCTTACACACTTTGGGACCATTTTGTTATATTTTAGCTACACATCAAAGGGGTTAACAAAATTTTCATCTTATAAAAATTCTTTTTATCCAACTTATTATAATAATTCTAATATTAACTGAATTTTAATTCAGCAGAATTCTCAATTCCATGGAATTTTAAGTGCGAGTCTAATTTTTAAATGACAGAAATTCCAAGTCATCGAATTTTAATTTGTCCGAAATTACAAATGGACGAAGAAACAATCGACAGAAAGATTTCGGCACAAGTTTTTAAAATTGCCCAATCACGATTTTCTTGATAATTTCTAATTGGTCAATTTTAAAAATTGCGCCAAAATCTTTCCTTTGATTGTTTCTTCGGTCATTTGTAATTTCGGACAAATGAAAATTCGTCGTCTTAAAAATTTCATTAATTAAAAATTCGTACAAAATAGATAAAAAAAAAAAAAGTCATATATAAAGAAAATGAATAAAATAAAAATTCTGCCAAACAAAAATTCGGTATAGCTAAAAATTTTGTTATGTGAAAATGTGTGTCAAATTTTAATTTGAAAATTGAAAATTCGTCTAAAAAATAATTATTTCTGATAAAATACTTTAAAATAAATTTTTTTACTCAGTTTGATGGGAAATACATGCGCCCCTGTTATTTGACAGAATTCTTGAAAACGTCGAATTTTCATTTATCCAAATAGCAAATGACCGAACGAACAATTGACAGAAAGATTTCGGCGCAATTTTTAAAATCGACCAATCATAATTTTCTTGATATGATGATTTATTTTGATTGGCCGATTTTTAAATTTCGTGTCATAATTTTTTTTGTCTGTTGTTTGTTTGGTTAAATGAAAAGTCAACATTTTAAGAATTTTATAAAATAAAAATAATAATAATAATAAAAATAATTCGTACAAATAAAAATTCGAACAAATGAAAATTCTGTCATTTAAAAATTCGAATTACTTATTAAAATTCTGTTAAATAAGAATTCTGGTAAAAAAAAATTTTTTTTTTAAATTTCCCATCAAAATGATTAAAAAAATTGATTTTAAAGTATTTTATCAGAAATAATTATTTTTTAGACGAATTTTCAATTTCCAAATTAAAATTTGACACATTTTCACATAACAAAATTTTTAGCTATACCGAATTTTTGTTTGGCAGAATTTTTATTTTATTCATTTTCTTTATATACGACTTTTTTATTAAAAAGAATTTCAATTTAAGCGAATTTTAATTTAACTGAATTCTCATTCAATAATTGAGTTTTATGTAATACGAATTTTTAAATTGACAGAATTTACAATTCAGCGAATTTTAATCTGTACGAATTTTTAATTAATGAAATTTTTAAGACGACGAATTTTCATTTGTCCGAAATTACAAATGACCGAACGAACAATCGACAAAAAGATTTTGGCGCAATTTTTAAAATCGACCAATCATAATTTTCTTGATATGATGATTTATTTTGATTGGCCGATTTTTAAATTTCGTGTCATAATTTTTTTTGTCTGTTGTTTGTTTGGTTAAATGAAAAGTCAACATTTTAAGAATTTTATAAAATAAAAATAATAATAATAATAAAAATAATTCGTACAAATAAAAATTCGAACAAATGAAAATTCTGTCATTTAAAAATTCGAATTACTTATTAAAATTCTGTTAAATAAGAATTCTGGTAAAAAAACAAAATTTTTTTACATTTAAAAAAATTTTTTAAAATTAGTATCTTACGGAAAAAGTTTACTAATTCGTGTTGTTTTAATAATTTGTTAAAATAATGTCGACCGCAAAAAAGGCAAAAATCAAGTGAACTTTTCTAAAAAAAACAAAATTTAATTTTAACGTTTTGGAACAGATTCTTGTTTTACTTCAGAAAAAAAAACAAAGGTATACATGATATAACTTCTTGAAATTTTCATCTTTTAATTTCGATTATAATTAACTTGTTCCTACGCCACTGTCAATAGAACAGAGTAGTGATAAATAATCACTTTGGATTGCCAATAGTGATACCGGTATTAAAACTTAACTGACTTTAATAATAATGATAATAATAATAATAATAATAATTTTACTTGGAGTTAGATCTCTAAGTTTGTATTTTTTCTAAATTAATTAATGTGAAGCAATAAAGATAATAATAATCTTAAAATAAATGTTTATCTGTAAAACATTTCCTAGAATATAGATATAGTAAATAAATTTTGCATCTTTCGATTTGAATTAATATTTATCTATTTAAATTTATAAAAAAAAAAAAAAATTTTAGGCTCTGGTGCTGCAGCTCTCGCTCATTTAGATGGGGCTGGAACGGAAGATGCCGCAGCGACAATGATTCAGAGGGTAACAGAATTAGCACTTGGATATCCAGAGGGACGTCTGGAACTTCAACTTGTAGGTGGTTACTCAGACCCTAGGAATTACTCGGAAGGACTTTTTTGTAATATTATGTGTAAGGATAAATATTCGATACTATAGAAAATTAGACAAAAACAAAACAAAGAATTATTTTTAACCCATTGAAATTTTTGTTGTTATTATGCAACCGCCAGCTTTTGATTGTACGACTTTATTGACTTATTTTAGAAAATAAAATAAAAAATTAATTAATTTGTTAAATTTAAAACAAAATATTTAGGTATATGAATTTTTTATATAGTATAAACTCTAGCTCTCTCAAAATTCAATTATTTTGAAAATTTGAATCTAAAAAAGTCTTTGCAAAATTAATTTTATTTTCAAAAAAAGTTTAATTAAAATTATTGAAAATAATTCTTTTTAATAATTTTAATAAAATTCTTCGATAATTCAAATATATAAAATATTTTTCAATTAAAAATTCTCTAAAATTAAATTATTACCTAAATTTTTTTTAAAAAGTCTTGAGCAATTCAAATTTACAAAATTTTTCAATAAAAAATTCTCTAAAATTAAATTATTACCTAAATTTTTTTTTAAAAAAGTCTTGAGCAATTCAAATTAACAAAATTTTCAATTTTAAATCTCTTGAAAATTGATTAACTCTAAAAATTTGAACTATAGCTTTTCTAATATTCAATTAATTTTTCAAATTTCTATTTAAAATTTTTCGACAAATTAATTATTTTTAATAATTTTTAATTAAAAAATTAATTTAATTTTAGAAAAATTTCTTGAAATTCAATTATTTCTTAAAAAATATTAAATATGTAACTCTGCCGAAACTCAAATTATATTTAAAATTATCTTCAATTCTTTGACAAATTAATAATATTTAATAATATTAATGAATTGTATTAATTCAAATAATTTTTATCAAGTTTTTCTAAAATTCATGATTCAATAAATTTAAAACATTTTTAGATTAAACATTCTCCCATTTTCCATAAAGTATTTTATTTTTAAAAAATGATTGAAATTTTTTTTTTTTAATCATTTGAATTTCAAACTTTACCAAAAATTCTGTATTCATAAATAATTTGCATAAATTAAAGTTGAATATTTTAAAAAAAATAACATTCATATATTTTTTTTAAATATAAAATTTTTTTTAGTCTAAAAGTTTTGAAATTCTTGAAAAATTGTCTCAGTTCCATTTTTGAAATATTATATAAATAAAATTTCTTGATAAATTTCTATGCAATTATTCTTATCAAGAAATTAAGGAAATTTATTTAATATCTAATAACAATGGTTAATTATAAAAATAAAATATTTATTTCAATTTTAAAAATCAATTTTTTTCGACTTTTCTTCTTATGTAAATCGATTTTTTTTGCGCTTTAAAGTCGATCCGAGATCAGGACAATTTTTTTTCTGATATTATTATATAAGTATAGATCTAAAAATGTTTTACGTTATCAAAATTAAACAAAAAAATATATATATTTTTGACTATTTTAGAAATTTTATTTTTTGAAAAAATGAAAAATTTTCGAAATTCATACAAATTGATTCCTGATTCTTAATCCAACATCAACAATTTGTGGTTATTTTATTTTTTTACAAGATTTTTTAAAACACATACGATAGATTGTTCAGAATTATTATGAAAAAAAAAATATTTGTCGATGGAAAATATTACAAATTGTGGAATGAGTACAAATTTAAATTTTTCCTATTACACTTGTTAATTAAAAATTTTTTTTTCCAAATTTCCATCATTTTAAACCCTCAATAGAGTAAAAAATAAATTAATATCCTAAAACAACGAAAATTTCATTGGTACCTCCTTTAATATAGAAAAATTCATTCATTTTCCTCTTATTATTAATTAAAGAAAAATGAATTAAAAATTATTTTTTATTTCAAGAGTTACTTAAACAAATATAATTTAAAAATTAGGTGTTTAATATTAAACAAAAATTAATTGTAAATTATTTTTTTATTTAATTAAACAAAAAAATATATATATTTACAGTTAAAAACTTATTGTACAATAGTGAAATTTTTCACAAAGTAATTATAATCTAATTATCTAAAATCTAATAAATAATTAGAATAAAAGAAACTTTATAGAAATTTTTTTACAATTAAAGTTGTTCACTTTTTTTTTTATTGGTATATTTAACTATTAAATTAATATTTATCTAATAAAAAAAAAGAATTAATTACTAAATGAGAAGAAAAATGTTTGAATGTAAAAAAGAAAAATTGGAGCCCATTATTATTTGATATTGGTAGTTTGAAATATTTAATATATTGAATTATATTTGCCTTTTAGCTGCTTTTCATAAGCAACCTGTTGAAATTGACCTCACGCTCTGCTGCGTGGGCGAACTCAACACAACTGTCAGAGGTGGTATCCATTGGCCAGTAATTTACGGAATTGGCTTAAATGTAAAAACTGGAGAAATATTCCCAGCAACGTTTCCTGACAAAGGACCAGATCAGGCTCTCAGAAGTGCTAGACAATTAACTGGAGGACAACAGGTTTTTTATTTTTTTTTAATACATTATTTATTTATTACACACTACAGTGGAAGAAAATAATAGCAATTAATATTTAAATTTCCTTTTATTCTATTTCAATTCATTTCTTTTTTTACTTTATTTCAAGGGAGATGCGCTTAAATAACTCAAAAATTTCAAAAATGTACATTTACCTCGTTTAAAAAAAAAAGAATTTTTTTTATGATTTTTTCCACAATTTCAAATTGTTTCAAGTATTTTACAAATATTTCAATAGAAATTTCGATAATTCAGATATTTAAATAAAAATTTCAAATTATTTCTAAAGTACTAAAATATTCTTTAATTTATTTCAAAATAATTCTTTTTTTTTAAAATATTTTCAAAAAACTTTTACATTCCATAAACATAAATTATTTGTTGCGCATTTTTAATGGAAAATTTATATATTTTTATTTAAAATTATTTTTATTTTATTTATTTTTTTAAATTTAATTTTAATTATTTTATTAAAATATAAATTTTTATTATAATTTCTACTTTCTTCACCTGAAATACTTGTAAACTTTAGAAATTACTAGAATTTATTTACCTTTACAAACGAGTTTTTGTTTTTTTAAATTTTGTTTTCATTTTCTAAAATTTTTTTCTTTACAACGATTTTTCTTTCAAATTCTCCTTTTCTGAACAATTTAAAAATTCTGACATTTAAAAATTCATCTCCATGAAGTTGGCGTCGACGCTCAGCGCCGAAAATTGTTTTTACAGGACCAAAAATGTCAAAATTATTTTTTTAAAAATATTTTCCGTCCAAATAATACCTTGAGAAATACTTTTTAAGGTATTATGTGGACACAAAATGATTTTAAAAATGATTTGATATTTTTGGTCCCATGAAAAATAATTTTCGACGTCGAAGCCAACTTCAGGGAGGTAAAAATTCGAATTAAATAAAAATTTTATTTGTATTTCCAAATTAGCTAAAAATTCTCAATTTATCCAACAAAATTCTTCTTTCATTTTGAGAACTAAAATTCTCAATTTTTTCAAAATTTTCTTTATTTTTAAACATTTTATTACCTTAAAATTTTTCTATTTTCTTTACAATTTCTAAAATTCTTGTACTTTTTTATTTTTATAATTTTTCCTTCAAATTTTTTCTCATTTTTTTTGAAATATCTAAAAATTTACCATTTTCCTGTTTTCGATTTTTTATTTACATTAATTTTTGTAAAATTCTTATGGTTTCTCAATTTTTTTTTTCCTTCGAATTCTATATATTTATTTTGAAAATAAATTTTTGATTTTTTGTATCACTTGATAATAATAATTTCTAAATATTAATATTGTTTTGCTTTTGTTTTATATTTGAAATTTATTTCAAGAAAATTATTTTGAAATAGAGACATATATTTTTTTCAGGTTTTAGATGTCTATGACTGTACTCTTGGTCTCCTTAGAATTGGACCTTTTAATTATGATCCTCTTCGAGGTGTTGATCTTTGGCTGGCACAAACGGATCAGTTTATTTTACAACATTTATCAACGTCACCAGATGTAGAACTACCACATTTTGTCTCACAGGTGAAATATAAGTCAAAAAATAATTATTTGAATACACATATAAAATAAATCAAAAATATAGAAAAAAAATTAATTAATTTAAAAAGAATTTTAAAAAATTGTTATTAAACGTTTAAAAAAAAATCTAGACAAAAAAAATTATTGTAAAAAATTACAATTTTGTATGTGACCGGATCTATTTCAAATCATTCATTTTTTTCATTTTGAAATTTTTATAACTTTTTCTAATTTTTATGGATATTTTAAAGATTTTATCTATAATCATTTAAAAATTAATAGATTTATGAATTTATTTTTAGAAAAATTTTATTAGGAATGTGTAAATTTGGAAATATTTGTTTAGAAGATTCTAAAATTAGAAAAATGAAATTAGTAATTTTTTAATCAAACTTAGGAAAATTGATACGGAACAAATATGTGGTTCCTTATCAATATTCTTAATTTTTTGGAATTTTCTAAAAAAAAAAAATTTTCCAAAAATATACATTTCTAATATAACTTTTCTAAAAATTAATTCCTAAATATATTAATTTTTCCTTATTTTCCATTTTCAAATGATTCTTTATATTTTAATATCGACAGAAATTTTTTGAAATTCAAAATTCTATAATAAATTAAACCATCCGGGAGCAGTTAACGTCACAAATTTTCGAAGCAGAATTCATATTTAATTTATAATTTTTTACATTAATTTTGTATATATTTAAAATTTCCAATAATACGAAGTCAAAAACAAATTTTATACAATTATTTGTGAAATGAAAAACAATTGCAAGTCAAATGTTGAAATAGAATAAATTCTTTGCATTCGGAAAAATTATATTTATTCGAAAAAATGTGTAACTTTAAAATTATGATTTGATAGAATCTTATTCTGTAGAATATTACTTTTTCAGAATATTAAATTGTTAAAATATTAATTTTTGCACAATTTTCATGAAATCAATTATTATATATCAATGTTGAAGAAATTTTATTTAGACGAAAATTAATTTAACAGAAATTAAATTTTATCGAATCTTAATTTGTGCGAAATATTTTACGAATATTAATTTGTCAGAATAGTTGTTTAAAAGAATCTTAATTTTTTTTTTTACAAAATATAATTAGACAGGAATATTTATTTTTCAAAATATTTATTGCTTCGAATATTAATGTTCCAAAAAAATTCAAATAGACGAAAATGACTTTCATAGAATTTTTATTTACGCAAAAATTAATTTGTCAGAAATTCAATTTGATCCAATGTTTTTCTTTTTACGAAAAATATGTAATTGTTATAGAAAATTCTATAAATAAATAATTTAGAATATTTAAACAGTAAAGAAAAACGTATTTTTGTAATTTTTATGAATATTTTAATATTTTAGCCAAAAAAAAAAAAATATATACAGTTTTGAAAAAAGGAACGTGAGAAAAAGAAAAATGAATATTTTCCTAATAGATTTTTCCTTTATAGATTCGAGCAACGCTCAAGTACATCCAGGACAATCAATTTCCGGCAGTAACAGTCTTTAGAGACAACAGACCTCATTATTATCGACGAGATGAAGCCACCGGAGTTTGGCAGCCAATAAGATATTAATGTTAACGTTTTTGTCATCCATGAATATTATCTACACTTCTCTTTTCTTACTCGCGATAATGCCCTATTTTTTTTTTGCGGACTTTGTCGATTAAAAAAAAGGGGGAAAAGAAAATTCTTGTTTAAACTATATATATATATAGAAACAAAACAAAGTTATCAATACCATTTGATTTTCATTTCTGTTACAAACAGAGAATAAAAAATGTGTATTGAATATTTTCACTGTTAACTCGATGACCACATCTGCCAATGCTTGTTAATTGTTTTATTATCTTCACTCTTAACTTGCTTATTTATTCTACAAGAATGAAAAAAGTGAACAAAATTTTTTTAAAAAAATTTCACAATTTTTTTTAATTTTATAACTTACTTACTTTAAAATATAATTTTTTCAAAAAAAACAATTTTTCAATATGTACGAATTATCACTGTTAATAAATTTCTAGTTCTTTTTCTAATTGGATTTTGTAATTTTTTGTAAATGTTGATTTTAAAAATATTTAAAAATAAAACGAATATTAACAAATTATCAATATTAATAAATTATCAGTTTTTTCTTATTTGAATTTTGTAAATTTTTTTTTCAAAAATAATTTTAAAAAATTGCAAGTTAAGGGTATGTGGGAACCTCTCACGTGACCTAGTATGGGAAAAAGTGCTTTGGTAGTATACATCTTACTCTAAAATGAAAAAAGATTTTTGTCTAAAATTTTTAGGGATGATAGATTAGGGTACAAGGAATCTCGCTGTTCTCCGAAAAATACATAATTTTGCGTTAAATTATTAATTATTAAGTTATGGTAAATTAGTAGAACAGCGAGATTCCTTGTACTAAACAAAATTATTTCTCCAAAATTTTGACCCGAATTCATTTTTTGTTTCAGAGAATGTTTCAAACCACAAAAAACGTCCTTTGCTCACATACCCTTAAGAGTAGAATTTTTGCAAATAAAAACAAAATAGTCGATGCTATTCTTCTTCTTCTTCTTCTTCTTCTTTTTTAAATTAATGCTCTCAGCTAAAGAAGAAACTTTTGACTGTGAACAAAATATGTTTTTAATTTTTGTAAGTAAGGGTAATATAATATTTTATCAACAAAGTTTTATTAACTGGACGATTTATATTAAGTTAATTATAATATTGTTTTAAATACTCCGTTGTTCCACAATATATATATATAAATATATGGGTATTTAATGAAAAATTCTTCTATTACTTATATTATTGTCAAAACTGAAAAATCGGCTGTGGAGTTAGCACACTGAGTTTTTTTTTAATATTGTACGTAGATAAAGAAAGTGAAAAAGAAATGACGTGTTTTTTTTCTATTGTTAATTAAGTTATCTTTTGTCTCGTAATAAGACGAAAAAATTAATTTCAAAGATATAAATAATTTTTCGTTTTTCTTTTTGGGATGGATTAGGGAAAAATTCGCTCTTGCCATAATTGGAAAAAAAATATATATATATATTAGATGAAAGTTTATAGAAAATGAAAAAATTATCTAGAAGAAAGTACAACAGAAATGCTGTAAATATTTCTAAGGACTGTTAATTAAATTCTAGTAATAAGGAGAGGGCCAAGAAACAAAATGTGTTGATTTTTCTTCTAGAAAAATAGTTTTACACTTTTTTTTTTTGTTTTGCAAACTGTTATATAGCTTTTTTCTATTGCTTACTTTACTATTTTTTTTTTTTTTTTTTTTTTTTTTGAGAAGCAAGAAAAAAATCATTTCTTGTTTCTTTCATATCAGAGACTTTTTGGAGTAAATTTTTTTTTTCAATCAAATGTTACATATAGGCAAAAATTAATGTAAGAGAAAAGAGCTTTTTCAACTTTTTTTTTTTTTATCGTTTTTAGTGATAGTTAAGTATAAAGTGTTAAACGCAACATAAGGTCAATTAAATAAGAATTATTCCGAAAAAATTAGTAAAGAGATATATTTATATTGTATTGTCTATTTAAAAACAAACAAAAACTGAGAGAAAAATTTAGAACTATCAAAAAAAAAAAAAAATATCGTATTTGACAAAACATTATTGCTTATAATTAATAAACATTGTTTATATTTGTTAAACTTTTCAAAAGTTAATGAAAATTGTTTTCATCTAATTTTGCAAATTTTTCTCTGTGTTTATCTTTGTTTTCATTTACTCATTTCTTATGTATGTATCTTTCGTTCTTTTTTCTTCTTTGTTGCAAAAAGACGACCTTATTTTATATAATACTATTTGGTGATATATTTATACAATAAATTACAATTAGTGAATATATTTTATATTTATTTTCTCTCATACCACATCATACCATCTTAAAAAATAATAATTAACAAAATTAAATTCAGAGTAATAATATTTATGTAAATATTATTTATGAATAAAAAAAAATCTTGTTTTAATTAAGAATTCTTTGGAAAAAAATTACGGAAATTATAGTTATATTGTAATAAGTTTATAAATAATTAATAATTTTTTTGTAAATTTCCTCGTAATTCTTTGATTACTTTATTTAGATAATTTGAGAAAAAATTAAGAAACTGAATTTTTAATAAATATACTTTAATATTTCAGAAAATTTTTATTGCAATTTTTCGGCAAAATTTATATAGAAAAATGCCAGGAAATTAAAAAAATTTAAATATATAAACACATATTGGCATTATCTGGATAATTATTAAAACACCATTGAGTGATAAATTCATATTTATTTATTTTGCAATTTTTCTTTACACTGTAAAAGAACAGAAAACTGATAACAATTATTTTATAAGCTACACTTCACAAAAAACAGTTTAGCGTAACTAAAGAACTAAAAAATTTACCAAGATTATAAAAATTGAATTTATTTATATAGTATAGCATGAGCAAGTTCTAAAAATTAGTTATAAACATTTTCTTTTTAATAATAGAATTTCATTAGATATATGATTTTCATTGAACCGAATTTCTATATTACAGAATTTTTTTATATGAGCAATTCCATGGGATGTGGTCACAAGAATTTTTGATGATTGGAGCAATTTTATTGAATCCTTGTGAATATGTTCTTTTATTTGTACAGAATGAAAGCCCATAAACAATTTTTCAAAATTCTCAAAATTTTTGGAGAGATCTCTAATTAAAAATTTATGTCATTTTTTTAAAAAAACGATGAACTTTTTTTCTTGTTATCCAAATGAGATCAATTTTTTTTAAATTTCTCACAAAAAGATGCTATTTTAAGAAAAAAACAGTTCATGAAAAAAAAAAAAATTTTTTTCTAACACACGCACCAAAGTACACCATTTCTTACCTGTAAAGGGGGAGAAAAGTATGTCTTTCCCGGCGAGCATATAATTTAATCTCAATGTAGTCGACTTACTATACAAGTTATATTTTTCGCTAAAATTTAATAATAAAATACCGTTTTTAGAAAAATTAACATTCTTTAGTTTTAATCTATGTGCTTTCGGTATGTGTGTTAGAAAAAATAGTATGTGCAACTCGGGAGGAAAATGATTTCCGTCTCGTGTATTTGCAGTTCTCGTCTTCCCTCGGGCACTCGCTACGTTTCGAACTGCAAACTACACTCGCGGAAATCAACCATTTTCCTCCCTAGATGCACAATATACTATTTTTGCCCGGAAAAAAGTCAAAAAAAATTTTGAATTCATTTTTTGAAAAAACTACCTCTTCGATTTAAAAAAATTTTTTTTGCAACACTAACCTCTAAAGTTAAATTTTACACACCGAAAATTGTGTGTAAAGAAGCTCTTTTTCAAACGGTGTGTAAAGTAATTCACTTTACGCACTGAAATTTATTTTACGCACTGAAATAATACTTTACACACTGAAATTTACTTTACGCACCGAAATCTCTCTCACATAATATAAAGATTGTTTTAAACCATATAAAACCACAAAATTAAAAAACGAACTATACTATTAACTTTATACACTTCTGCTTAATGATATTTTTCCTGATCTTCGATTGATTTTTTTAATTCTATACAATCGAAATTATTCTCAAAGAGAGTTGGCATTCTTCATAATAGGTACTTAACTTTAGAGGTGGGTGTTGCAAAAAATGTTGCATGATACACGTGCGTAAATCTGATTATACGCACTTGTATCATAAATAACTACTTTCAACTTAATGCCTATGATGTTAAGAATAACTTCTCTAATTTTCATAATGGGATACAAAGAACTTTGAGAGAAAAAAATTAAAACGTCCCGTCTGCCTAAGAAAAATTGAATTTTATTGGAAATTTTTTTTTTTGTCGTGGATGACTTTTTGGTGGTAATAGAGGTCTTCCTCTACTCGGATTTGGCTGTCGATTTTTTTCTACACTTTTAGGTGTATTTT